AAACCTCCTCTGAACAAATCTTGCCAAGAAAACCCCATGACAGCCTTAGGGTTGCCATAAGTCGTAAATGACTTGAAGGCAGACAATAACAACAAATACCAAATGTCTGTGAAGATTTTAATGTTATTTGGAAGGGAGATGTGTTTAAATGTGCCATCTGATTTCCTAATGTCCTGGAAGTAGCATCATCCCCATTCACAGTACATAGTTATAGCATTTCAATCCCACTTTAACTCTCATGGCTCCATGCTATAGAATCTTGGGATTTTTGATTTGGGGAGGCACTACAGGTTTCTGCTTTGAGAATTCTAAATATCCTTCCTGAAACTGCAAATCCCAGGTTTCCATAGGAAGGAGCCTTGACAGTTAAAGTAAAATCACAGTGCTATAATTGTGTAATATGAAAGGGCATTCTGGGCAGTGAAAAAGTAAATGAGTGAGGAGTAGTCATTACAGAAGGAGAGAAAGAGAAAAGGAAAACAGAAAGGGAAAATACTTTAATAGTTCTTGGTTCTTGATGGCTTCTCTAAGATTTACTTAAACTGTTTTAAAAAGTCAATTTTTCTGGCTACGTCTGGTAACTTCTCTGAGCTCTGCAACAAAGAAATGGGCTAGCTGCTCTTGTAGATTTTGGTCAGAATGGACTATTACAAACCATGGAGTTCAGAATATTGTTTGCTTCCCTTTCTTTGTGGTCTCCGCTTCATTTTTGTAACACATTCAGATTTTATTGCAGGCACATTTTATACCCAGCTTGATTTGTAAAGGTTGCCCTAGTGGATGGTTTTTCAAGCAATTATCCCATGAAACATTTGCGCTATTCTGGGACATTTAACTGAAATGACATTGTCCTGTTTGAAAAACATTGCAGTGTTAAGTAAACTTGACCCGTAGCACTGAAGCATTCGTTTTTCTTTCTTATGTCATACCATTGAAATGCCTAAACACTCACATACACAGAGACATAGTGTGTATGCGCACTCAAGAATGTATTTCAATAATGTGATGTGCCAGAAGAAAAATAAATCCTTTGGAGGAAATGTATATGTAGACCTCAGTCCTATAGTAGACCAATTGAATTCATAGTTAAACTGTGAGTCAACACTTATGTAAAGCTCATTGAGTCAATGGGTCTACTTAGTTGGGACTGCCAATAGGATTTAGGTCATAATTGGTAGGTAAAACAGCTGGAGGATTGTCATGATGAGAATGTAGACATTTTGACACAGGGAGATGGGGAGATAGGATGCCATTTGTGCTCCACCTCAGATATCAAAATGTTTTGAGTTAGATTTGCTCCATCAACACCAACATCATCATCATGATCATCATTATCATTGTCATCATCTCCTCCTCTATTTGTATCCTACTTTTTTCCTGGTTAACACAGCTTAGATGTGTTAAAAGAGACATTTTAACACTCTTTAAAGAAAGCGACTCAACACAGTTTACAAGTGTTAAAACGGGTAAAGCTAAAAGTGCACATCATAAAAAAGTAAAACAAAATGAAACTATATGTCGAATGAAAAGCAATTAAAAGCTTGTTCATTGGAGAAAAAAACAAATGCAGTCAATATAGTGCACTTATTCAAAGTTCTTTCCCCATGTTAAACCTGCCAAAACCCCCAAAAGGGGTCATTCATGCTTGCTTTTTGAATGGAAAGATTCTTATCTCCGCACCAATTCAGAACTGCTTCAGACTTGTTCAGAATTGGTTTGGCGTTCCCACTACATTTTAAGTCTCCATGGCATTCAAACCCGGTCGCTGTTCCGATTTGCCATTATTTCAGATCAAAATGGAGGCTCCTCCATTTCCGGAACAGTGGTAGCACGATCCGAATCGACTGATAGCTTATTCTCACTATGAGAGATGTGGATCATTGCAGTTCTTTAAAAAAGAACCACTAAGGGATCCAGTGCCAAATGCACCAGTTT